TCACATTCGGAAAATTGATTGAAGGTGAACGGCGAGAAATTAGGAGTTGATGCTTAGGACAGATTGTTTAAAGTGTATGATTTTATATTATCGCTTGAAAACGAAGAGGTAGATGAGAAATGTTGATTTAATGATTCAATGTCAACGTTTTCATTCGAAATAGTAGATTCTTTAGATTTTCCAACTCCTATAGATCTGAGAAACTTCCAAATTTTTGCAGGTTCTCCGTTCTCGACTGATCTTTCAACATGGCGTTGTTGTGCGTCTCTACAAATTGTTTTGCAGCGATTCCGTATGACCTATACTTGTCCTTATTGTGGTCCGATTTATCACTGTTATAAATAAGTCTAGCTTTATTTTTCTTATTTAACAGTGATTTAATATCGTCCGTTAGCCAAGGTGCAGGGGTGTGTTTAACTTTAACTGGTCTGATTGGAGCATGGGTGTCATAAAGGTCAATTAAAATGTAATTAAATGTTTCCACCTTTAGGTATATAGAATCTGCAGAGTATACAGCAGACCATTCAGCATTCTGGGGATCCTCTTGTAAACGTTCTATATACATTCCACTAAAATTCCGTAGCAGCAGTACCTTGCCTTGAAGTTTGGGAGTACGTATTTTATATGACAGAAAGATGAGGTCATGATGAGAGAATGCCACAGCTGCACATTGACCATGCTTTGACACGTGATCAGGAGATGAAACTATGATAAAATCTAACAGGATGAAATACAGTTAGGCAAGGTGTGTGTAGCATTAAGTGGCAGAATATGTAAATTACACGAGTCAGTAATAGAGCGAAGCTTCTTAGTGCGGTGATTATTCTTTAACAAGCAAGTATTAAAATCGCCCATACAAATAATGTGATTGTACAGAGGGGTCAGGTCTTCAAGTGTTTTCTCAAACGAATGGAAATAATTCACATGGAGGGATGGGCTATAAAAGACGCCTAGTAAGATTTTGGTGTTAGATAATATAATTTCCAACAAGATATGTTCAGCTTCATAAGGCAAGGGTGCTTGAGTAGACAATTTAATAATCTTAAAAGGGATATCATATCTAAGGTAAATTGCTACCCCACCACCACTCTGGCCTACTCGGTCATTTCGAATAAGATTGAATCCTGGTAGTGAATAGCAGGTAGAAGGTAAACATGGTTTGAGCCACGTTTCGGATACAAGAATAGCGCTGAGGAAGCTCTTAAATGATGCAAGCATGTCTGGAAAATGTGCCGGAATACTTTGGGCATTAATATGAATAACATTGAAATTTTTCAGAACATCTGAGAATTGAGAAGATAGGACTTCGTTTAGAGGAGTGAGATCTGTACTGTGAAAACTATCGTCACTACTGCCGCTTTCAGAGTAAGGTGTCACAAAGGAATCATTACTTGAAACAATATAATTGAACGACTCAGAACTCATAATAAGTCTTTTTTTATGATAAATATATGATATGGTAATGCGTATATATATAGCGATATAAAATGATAAAGTAATATATTAATATATAGATATAAATAATATGAATAAGTAAAAATTAACTAGTTCTCCTTCACCTACCAGCGTTACCAGAAGATCGATCGATCAAAAACGCATCTAAACTATCAGTAGTACATAGTTACACTTCATACGTACACAACGGTTATTGCAAAAAGTAGTATAGGCTAATAATATTACAAACGGTAGCAAAAATCGATATTACAAATAAATAGAAAAATTAACAGTAGGTCTTAAAAGTAAACAAATCAATTTTATTGATCATTTTTTGTAAGCAAATAAGTTAATGTAAAACTTTGAGTATGAGTTGGCTGTATGGTCATTCGAACTTTGCCTATATAGATATCAACAAGATTTAGTTTGAGTCTTTGACAGACTTAAGTCAATGTCGAAATAGAGTAATTTAATAATTTTACCCTTTATAATTACATTATTATCAAACAATTGAAATCATTTTCACTTAAGACTATAATTTGTAATAATTTTGAAGTATCGGTAGAACGTAGTAAACAAATACATATACTGAAGTAATGATCCGACTTATGCTAATGAACCAAACACTTAATCGATTACGGGGAAATAATTATCTATCCAAAGTACCTAGCATTAGTAGCAAATATAGTAAACTAGTTTAAATATACTAAAGTACTTAGCTTTATTATGAAAAATAATCAAGTGAACGATGGTAAACATTTTGCAGTGTGTTAGTACAACACAGTAAATGCAGTTATAACCATTACCCATGTTATTGAATAAAACACTTGAACAATTACAGTACAGAGAAGAAAGAAATATTTACTTATTGTATCAATCTAAGGTTCCTATCTTTTAGTAAAAGATATAATAAAGTTGCCTAAAATTATGAAGTGATGGTACGAGGGCGGCACTGAAAATTTCGGGAATCAAGGAAGTGACACAACATTACTATTTAAAAATGTATTTATTGCTTTTCGAAGTATTCTCCGCGAAATTTGACACATTTTTCCATACGATGGAACCAATCATTGAAGCAACCATTCCATTCGGAAGTTGGGGTCTCCAAAATGGCCGTTTTGTAGGCGTCCACAGCTTCTTCAGGTGATGAAAATCTCTGTCCACCCAATTTATTCTTTATTTTAGGGAAAGTATAGAAATCATTAGGGCTTAGGTCGGGGCTGTACGGCGGATGGTCTAATAATTCTATGTTTTCTTGCTCTAAAAACTCTTGTTCTGTGTGCGGTGTGAGAACTCGCATTGTCGTGATGGAGGATGATGCGGCGGTTGCTCTCTTTACGGAGTTCAGAAACGACCTGTGGCAAACAAATGCTAGCATACCATTCTGCATTAACCGTTCTTTGTCCCTCAAGAGGAATAGTCGTAACATGGCCGGTTTTGGAGACAAACGTGGTCACCATATTTTTGCAACACTCCGTTAACGAACAATTTTTGTTGGCTTTAACTCATTTTCGAACACCCAAACTCGTGACTGGTTTATTGTTTCGGTTTCGTACGCGTATATCCAGGATTCGTCACCTAATACAATGTTGTATACAGCATTTGAGGATCCTGCGTGGAATCTTTCGAGAGTTCTGACGCACCAAGTAACGCGAGCCGCTTTTTTCTCTTCACAGAGCGAATGCGGTAGCCATCGGAAAAACAACTTTTTTACACCTAATTGTTCATGCAAGATTATTTGTATTTGACTCATGCCAATGTCTACAGTTGCCTGAATTTCGCGGTATGTCACATGTCGATATTCCTCATTCAGCTTACGCACAGCATCAAAGTTTTCTTGGGTGACTGCAGTTTTTGGACGACCTTGACGGGGATCATCACTGAGCTTGACACGTCCACGTTGAAATTCAGAAAACCAGCGATAAATTGTGGTTTTGGATGGGGCTTCATCACCAAATGCAGAAATCATCCGGTCAACACACTGTTTTTGTGTTAAACCACTTCGAAAGTCATAATAAATCATCGCTCTTGAATTTTCTCGAGTCAATTCCATTTTCTCAACGACTAAACAAGTTTGAAAAAACCTTGTGACAAGACCGAGAATTTTTTTTAAATAGATAAATGATATTCGATTTTAAAACCAAGGAGTTTTCAATTAAAAAGATTTTAATATGACAGGAACAGTGGAAATATTCCATTCCCGATACTTTTAGTGCAGCCTAGTACAACAAAGTAAACACAGTCATATGCTGAAGTAATAATACAACTTGAAGTACCTACATCAATGAATAGAACACTTGAGTGGAAAATATGGCAAATGTCCGCCTTATAAAACATTCTGGGGTAATGGTAATGGTTTGTTAACATAACCGTTACCTATGCCTTCCTAAATAAATATCAAATAGAAGGCCTAGTTTTATACTAAATTCTATATTCATGCTAAAAAAATAGTACCTATTGTGTATTTTAATAAATCAGTTTTTTGTATTTCATTTTAGGTATACTCGTATGTTTTGTTTGGATTTGTCTTGCAATGCATTGATGTGAAGTTCTAATTAAATTCACAGATATATTCAGTATTTTGCGAGTTATTTACATCATTTTATATTTATTAAAATATACAATGTGTAATACAAGCACATAAGCATATTTTTTATAAAACTAAGGAAATAATATAATTTCTTTCATATTATGGGTTGTCTGTCCTACTCAAAATATAATAAAAATGTTAAAATTTTTTTGTGTTACAGTACAAAAAGAGAAACAATCACTTTGGATATCAAATTAAAGTAACTACGTTTAGTAAGAAATAGAATAAAGTAACCGAAATATAATAAGGTACTTAGTTTTTTATTATGAAATATGAAAAAAGAGAACAAAAAAAAAAAAAGAAAAAGAACACTACATAATAGAGAAAAATGGCTGTTCAATAAAATGCATTACATACAGCGTTAGAAGGAGCTCAATACAAAGTTATTTTGCCTTGATAAATCTCTTAGACCTAGCTGTAGAAATAACCTTGTTTCCTTTAGCACTAGCTTCACTAACACTCCTCCCCGATAGTGACAACCCTTCCAAATCACCAGTAGAGCAAGGAATAAATAGATTTCAGATAAGCGAATGAGGTGGCGGTATATCGCCGACCATTGGAACCAATTATGACTATATGACCATCTTTTGTCCAACATTTATTAATGCCAAACTGATTACGATCAGCTAAGAAAAAGTCATGTCGACTCTTGGTCAGTAATTCGGATGCAGTTAATACCAGTGTTTTTGAACGCAGTTTTAGAATACCATATTAGATTTTTATTTTCAATATTATTGAACTTGACCAGAATGGGGCGTGGTTTACCTTCTTTAGAAACGCCTAGGCGATGACATCTGGTGATTACATCAGTATATATATCTGTCAATTTTAATTTGTCTGCGAACAATTTACATACTGTAGAAGGAAGGTCTTCTTTCTTCTCCTCTCTGATACCATGTAAAAGGATCATCTTACGTCTAGGTCTCATTTCAGATTGGTCATATAATTTGAATTACGGTTGCATTTGTTCATTTAGAGTTTTTAAAGATGTGAGCACAAAAGATCGAAACACTTCAAAATCTGTTGAGAGTGAGGATGTATTACCTGCTGTTGGTATAGAGCTATCTGTTGAGAGTGGTAGGGAGGATGTATTACCTGCTGTTGGTATAGAGCTATCTGTTGAGAGTGAGGATGTATTACCTGCTGTTGGTATAGAGCTATCTGTTGAGAGTGAGGATGTATTACCTGCTGTTGGTATAGAGCTATCTGTTGAGAGTGAGGATGTATTACCTGCTGTTGGTATAGAGCTATCTGTTGAGAGTGAGGATGTATTACCTGCTGTTGGTATAGAGCTATCTGTTGAGAGTGAGGATGTATTACCTGCTGTTGGTATAGAGCTATCTGTTGAGAGTGAGGATGTATTACCTGCTGTTGGTATAGAGCTATCTGTTGAGAGTGAGGATATATTACCTGCTGTTGGTATAGAGCTATCTGTTGAGAGTGAGGATATATTACCTGCTGTTGGTATAGAGCTATCTGTTGAGAGTGAGGATATATTACCTGCTGTTGGTATAGAGCTATCTGTTGAGAGTGAGGATGTATTACCTGCTGTTGGTATAGAGCTATCTGTTGAGAGTGAGGATGTATTACCTGCTGTTGGTATAGAGCTATCTGTTGAGAGTGAGGATGTCTTACTTGCTGTTGGTATACAGCTATCTGTTGAGAGTGAGGATGTATTACCTGCTGTTGGTATAGAGCTATCTGTTGAGAGTGAGGATGTCTTACTTGCTGTTGGTATACAGCTATCTGTTGAGAGTGAGGATGTATTACCTGCTGTTGGTATAGAGCTATCTGTTGAGAGTGAGGATGTATTACCTGCTGTTGGTATAAAGCTATTTGTTGAGAGTTAGGATGTATTACCTGCTGTTGGTATAGAGCTATTTGTTGAGAGTGAGGATGTATTACCTGCTGTTGGTATAGAGCTATTTGCTTCTAGATTTTTCTGAAACTCATCCATTAGAGTGTTGAATAAGGTTGACATGTCTTCAAGTGACTTCTGTAGTGTCTCCATTTTAGTGACAGTGTAAGGACAGGTTATGAACACACTGTGAGAATAACTCCGAAAGAAGAGGAAAGAGGTAGCGAGATAAGTATAGATAAATTAATGAAAAGCATGAAAGCAGGTAAGGCTGCCGGATATGATAGAGTATCACTCGAAATGCTAAGGGCTGGAGAGAAAGTGGTGGCAGGCCTGCTGCACACCTTGTTTAATTTATGCTGGGAACTGAAGCGGGTACCGGTAGACTGGTGCAAAGCCGTGATAGTCCCAGTATATAAAGGAAAAGGGTCGCAGCAGGACTGTAAAAACTACCGTGGTATCAGCCTTCTTAGCATTGTGGGAAAACTGTATGCTAAGGTACTGATTGAAAGGGTCATGAAAGAAACTGATGAAAAAATTTGGGATGTGCAAGCGGGATTTAGAAAAGGAATGGGAGTACAGATCAAGTCTTTTCCATGCGCATGATCGCGGAAAAGTTTTTGGCCAAAAACCAAAAGGTTTTTTGTGCGTTCATGGACTTGGAAAAGGCCTATGACAGAGTGGATAGGGTTGTGCTATGGCAAACACTGAATTCAATTGGGTTGAACGCTGGCTTGATACAGGCATTGGAGTCACTTTATAGGGACTCTAGTGCTTGTGTTAGGATCAACGGGGTCTATTCGTACTGGTTTGGCATCTATAAAGGTATCAGACAGGGCTGTGTGGCTTCCCCATGGTTGTTCAACCTATTTATGGACAGTTGTTTGCAAAATTGGAAAGTTGAAGAATGCGGATTAAGAATGGGTGAGTTAACCGCCAAATGCCTTTTGTACGCCGATGATCCAGTTATTCTTGCGTCGTCGGCGGCCGAGCTGCAAATGATCGTTACATTAATGAACAGATCATTAAAAGAAAGGAGTATGAAAGTGAACGAAAGTAAGACGAAAATTATGATTTTTGAAAGAGAAGTAAGTAAGACGATATGTGAAATAAGAATAGAAGGGGAGTTGATCGAGCAAGTAGATGAGTTTGTATATCTGGGTTGCGTATTTAGCAGGGATGGGAGATGTGATAAGGATATAGAACGACGAGTGAATGCAGGAAATAGAATAAATGGGGCCCTACACTCTATTGTGAAGAGTCAAAATATGTTGAAAAAGGCACGTATGGCAATTCACAATGCTGTGTTGGTCCCTACTTTAACGTATGGTAGTGAAAGTTGGGTGTGGCAGAATTAGCACAAGAGTAGAATGAACGCAGTAGAAATGCGGTGGTTAAGGAGTATGTTAGGGGTGAATCTGAATGACAGGGTAAGAAATTGTGTAATATGAGAAGAGTGTGGTTTGCAAGATGATGTTGTGACCAGGATTAAGAAAGGAATGCTTCGGTGGTTTGGTCATGTGGAAAGAATGAATGAGGAAAGAGTGACAAAGAAAATTTATGTTGCAGAAGTGAATGGCAGAGTCGGAAAGGGACGTCCTAGGCGAAAATTTATCGACCAAATTGGCGAGTTATTGAAAACGGGCCAAATTAGGAGTACCCTTAACCGACGAGCATGTATGCGTAGGTGTATGGATGTGAAGGAGGCGAGAGAGGTGTGTCAGGATCGTGCCAAATGGAAGTCTGTACTCTCTGCCTACCCCTCTGGGTGACAGGCGTGAGTGTTTATGTTATGTTATGTGTGTGAGAATAATTTAGTGGCAAAATTCAGTTGCAGGTTTGTAAATAGTTGTATGGAAATATGCTGGTAGGTTAAAGACTAATTTAGCACATCAGTCACACCAAACACTTGATAAATATATATATTTTTAATTAAATTACGCAGCTTGTTATTTTTACGTATAGTGAGCACACTCCTACCCGCAAAAAAAAAACATACGGCATCAAGCGCAATTTAGTTCTTTTACTCGTAAATTTATCATGTAATTTCGACTGTTTTATACAAGTTGTTACTATGGGAAATTTATTTTATTTTATTTATTCTTAATTGTAACACCTTACTACTAGGGTGACTATGGGCGGACTTGATGCTTCTCTGCATTATTATGGCAGGTGTAAACTTGCTTTATGATCTTTAGAAAAAAAAATATTTATATAGGTACAATGTATGACAATTCAAAATATGCTGCCATAAATAATACAGAATAGAATAGAGTAGAATAGAATAAATTTTATTCCTTTTAGATTAAAATAATACTTATTGAAAGTCATTTACACTTAACAATGGTTCGGGAAAAAACTCAGTCCTGGAAAGAACTAGCATGAAACCCAGCGGAACTTTCTTCAATATATAATAGGATATTTTGTACAATTAAATATGAAAACATTTAGAAACGTTATGGTAAGTGAAATGTCGAACAACCTGCAACAAGGTCTATGAAACTGAACAACATCGATTGTTATCTCGACTAAAATCTCACGGGTGAATATTTTTCTTGAGATGATATTGCGTATGTTACAACCACGTATAAGAAGGTTTGTACGTTCTTAGAACCGCGATTTACTCGGTCATTACATGGAGTTATTACCGGCGAGCCGGTTTGTTGCATCTGATGTGGAAACGTGCCCGGATCATCTTACAATGTGAACGTGAGCGCACGCGAGCAGGAAACGTGTCACACGAACCGAGGGGATCGTGGAGATGGAAGGAATCCCTTATGTCGATTAAGGTTACGTGATCATCTATTTAATCTAGCTTTACCACAATAAAAAAACATGCTTTGAAAAGTCGAGAGTAGAACTAGTATGGCCTTAACCGAGCTACGACACGACTGCATATAATATGGAGTAATTAATATTTAGTAATGAATAAGTTTTAAAATATGCCTATAAATTAAGAATTCCATTATTTAATATTAATTTGAACCTATCATATCACATCATCACAGTCGGATTAGGCAAGTAAAGTGCAATGAATGTACATTATTGCAAACGCCATTGTTAATTTATACAGACGGCTTCCGCTGACTACTGTTGTCGAGTTCATCTGTTGCCATAATCATTATAGTTGATCTTAGATCTTTAATCTTGCATATTTGTCGAGTGTCTATTTGGTGAAGTTGAAAGTAGGTATGTTCAAATTGAATTCTTTATTGCCGCTCGTCTCAGATGGTGCGATAATCCACATATTTATTTATCCCCGGCACTTAATTAGAGCCGAGTTCAAACCATCCCGGTAACGCTGACATATTCGGTGATATTTATTTACGGTTTAGAAATTCCTCCGGCTGCGTTAAACCTTGTGGCTTTAACGATCCCTTTTCGTCTTCGTTGACGATTTGTTGCTGCTGGAGCTCCGATATCGGCTTATTGAATGTTTACATAAAGACGACTACTTTGAGAATCAAATTGGTATTTTTATTGCCATAAGCTGACGTTTATAATTTTTCGTTATATATTTGAGTCATTGACAGGATTGCGTCTATATTTAAACTTAAAAATTATTGATTTCTGGGAATGAATAATATAACATACGTAAAGATAATAAAATTAATCGTTATTCTTTCTTCTTTATTAGACAGTACCTGGATGACCTAGCTTTTAGTATTTTTGTTTGGAAATCGTGAGTTTTGGAAATTATATTTCGATACAAATTACATACTGATTAAATATGAAAAAACTGAACTGGTTATTTGAATAAAAAGATCATGAGTGCATGCATTCGTTTAATTAAAATTTTCGTGTTTTTAAAAAAATACTAAAAAGGGGCTCGAAATAATAGGTTTTCGCACAAAAGAAGGGAACTTAAAAAAAAAAGGAAAAAGTCGGAGCAAAGACAGGACCCGATTTCGGGATCGTCCGATATCCCATTTGAGCTATTATAATCATTAACGCATTACCAAAAAATACCTTCTTATTCAATGATATTGTAACAGTTTTTCATTGCCTGAAAACACGGATAAAACGATATTTTCTAAAAATGAATCCTAGCTAGATCGATTTATTGCCCCCGAACGAAACCCCCTGGACACAAAATTTTAAGAAACGTTTCCGAGATTACGATTATATATATATATATATATATATATATATATATATATATATATATATATATATATATATATAGTATATAGTATATAGTAATAAGTAAATCGATTAAATCTTGAGTTTTGTCTATTTAGAGTGATGGTAAAAAAGATTATTATATTTATTTTGCTTGCTCGAAAAACATCCATTCTACAATTGATTAATTATTGTATTGTCAAGGATGCTGCTGACATACAAAGAGGTTTTGCAGTGAGTTACACGGAAATTATCTTTCGTTATACTAAAAATTAAGCAGATACAAGATGACTGAGATTACCCGTCGTTCAATAAGCAGACTGATGTCAGTGTGTCGATTTCGGTGTTAAGTTTTTCCCCCGCCGCAAAATCAAAATTATCTGCAATTTATCGTACGTGCGAAAGGGATTTGCCGTCTCTAATTGCAGAATACATTCATCGCGATCATCATTTAGATGGACTCGACAAGATGGCCGTTCATTTCTTAAGTAGCGATTCTCGGTAGCAGGAAAGCATTAGGTAGGTAATTCCGCACAGCTTTCCCAGCTGTAAATGGCGATGGAATGACGCGCATTAATTTGGTTTGCGACGTCGTTGTTGGTAAAGCCTTTTACGGCTGTTTTACACAAGCTCGATGATTTGAATCCGTATTAGGAGACGAGCCGGTGCTCGGCCGGTATTAGCAGTGGACGTTTATGGTATTAAAGTGGAGACCGACGTTGGGATGGATTTCGCGACAGCAAATGTCGGAGGTGTGCCTGTGCCGGTTAACTCGGCGGGTACATCGTTTTTTGTTTGACGGGCGTTGCAAACAAAATTATGCTTCGTACGGTGCGGCGCCGCGCGGCCGCCTTCGCTCCTCTTTTTACC